GTATCCAGCTGATTATTTAGTAATATACTAAGTGACATATAAATCCGAACACCCAGTTTAAATGGTTTTATTTTAATAAAAGTTGATGAATGTATTTATCTTACTGTAAATAACAAGTGAAAAAATTTTCAGCCTTATCAGTTGGACATTCCGGTTTTTATACTGCTTTTTTTTTAATTCACTAACGCTCTAAAAATGAATATTTCAGCCGCAGTAAAGAATCAACGTTGGCGGATTTTGGTTCTTGACATCCTTTACGATCGGTTACGATGCCTAGAGTACGGAGACCTGTACGATTTCGTCAACTTAGTGAGTTTGATAGGGGCCGTATAGTGGGACTTCGGGAAGCTGGACTTTTTTTCGGGCAATTGCAGTTAGAGTGCAAAGAAGTGTAGACACTGTGGTTAGGGTTAGAAGGCGACGTGGTGAAAGGAGGAATCCACATTTTTTTGTTGAAAGACATGTTCATCACACTGTTGGAGTTATAGTTTGGGGTGCTATAGCTTATGGTTCCAGGCCACCTTTAATCTTCATCAGAGGTAACATGAACGCGCAGCGTTATATCCACGAAGTTCTAGAAGCCCATCTTTTACCCTATCTTGACACCCTGGCAGATCCAACTTTCCAACAAGATAATGCCCGACCACATGTTGCAAGAGTCACAATAGACTTCTTTCAACATAATGATGTCACATTGCTACCATGGCCACCAAGATCTCCCGACTTATCCCCAATTGAGCACGTGTGGGATATGACGGGTAGGAGATTGCTCAATTTGCAACGTCCTCCTCAGACTCTAGAAGCACTTCGAGAGGAGTTGGTGGTTGCCTGGAATGAGATACCACAGGAGGACATTGACCACCTGATCAGAAGCATGCCTAGGCGCGTTGGAGAATGCATAGCACATCAGGGTGCATCCACACATTATTAAAGGTCAAAGGGCTTTAAAGCACTGCAATCATTTTGAAATTTTTATCATTTACTTATTATGCTTCATTAAGTACTTATACAAAAATTTTATTAAAATAAAACCATTTAAACTGGGTGTTCGGATTTATATGTCACTTAGTATATTTCAAAATTCCCCATACCGGCAAGTGGCACACAATTCTGACGGATCCGTCAAAGCGAGGTAGATAGAGCCGTATTTTTTGTGGTTTTTTGTACGCTACTTCATATTGTACTTGTTAGCAACTCTTCTATTTGGAAAAGTTCCTTCGCTTACCAGGAAAAAAACGCTACAATCATAATGCCTGTGAATGAGCATGACTACATTTCAAGTACGATTTTTCACTAAGTTAGTCATCTCTACAATTTAGAACTTGAAACATATGATTTTAAAAGGCAATGAAACAGCCAGACAATTATTGAAAAATGTGTGGCACTATATGACCGAATTGATCCCTAAATTAGGTCTGAAAATTACTCAGGTGAAGTTAGGAATTAGAAAAATGGAAGTGAAATGTAAAATTACTGCAGGAAGTCATCAAATGTACTCAATTCGGACAATGCAGTGTTCATAAATACAGGTTTGGGCCAACAGTTAAGATTACTACAAAAATTCAGAGGAAACGAAAACGTGGCTGTTAGCGCTTGTGGGAGGAAAATAAGAAATGTAGCGCATACTTACCTGCATATGCCAATCCCCAGCCCTTTGGAGTATTATTTTTTTTTGTGTTATATTATTTGCTCGTATTTTATTATATTATGTATTAATACTCCAATAAACATTATTATTATTATTATTATTATTTAAATTATGTTACACTGATGATGGAGAACTAACTAGAAACACGTGTCTATATTATTTTATGGGTAAAATTACAGCTATTGGAAAGGACTAGGCAGTCTATCCTACTAACTTAGACTATAATCAATAAATCCTTGATGTACTATAATAATTTTTTAATAAACATTTTTCTATGTGTGCGTCGTATATTTTATGGTCAAAATTCCCAGTCATTAAAAGTATCTAGATATGTGAACAAGAGCTCTAATACGGTCCTGAGTTTTACCAGGTTTACACCAGATTCATTTTTGTCAGCGTTTCAGACAGAAAAAGATGTCACTTGTTGGTCAGCTGTTCACCTCAGTAGACGTCAACACATAATGGAAATATGCTGTAACCTCGAGGGCTGTAATCTGTAGTTCTTTGGTTGAAGCAATCGTTTTTCTAAGACTATCCATTTCTAAAAGGTCAAGTTTTTGCTGAGATTGCCGTATCCGTTTAAAAAGAGCGATCAAGAAAAGTTGTCTTACCAGTGACCCAACTATTTAATCTGTAAACTTTGCAAATAACTACTACGCGTGTTCTTCTGATACGCTATTTTTTTCTAAAAATCATACTCAGCCACAACAAATGCATAGAGTAATAGATCGTCAACAAAGCATTTGAAATTTGTACTAAATATTAATGTCAATATTTACGCGTATTTGGTAACGCTTGGGTACAAAGTCTCCTTGTACGGCAGATTTATTGAAAATATCGTTTTTATCTTTTCATGAATGTATTACTTTGTATTTATCAGTTTACAACGTCAGCACCACAAACATTGAAACATTTTAGTCACGCTTATATCTCTATAGTTATAGATTTTCACTTTGTAGATTAACTTTGAAAATACCCTCATCAATTATCATATTTTTTTTTAAATTGAAGTTTAATTAGATAAAATGGAGCAATGTGCATTCGCGAGGGTTTCGGTTAGTTCTTTTGAACAAAAGTGACGTTACTAAGTGAGTTACTTTCATTCAAGGGCGTTGAGTTTTGTAAGGCAAAGTTGTAGTGCCCAAAACGCACTATGTTTAGTAAATATTCTAATTCCAAAAAGTTACAAACATCAATATTTTGCTGTTGAATGTTATATGGCAGGTATATGGCAAAAAAAGGTCACTCTGTTTTTACTTTCCACACCACACATATCTCCCAGTACATTTACCCTCAAGATGAAATAACTATTTCTTACATGTACAGACATATTTTCCCGTACACCCGTAAGATGAAAGAAATATATCTTATATGTACAAAGTGCACCTCTGCCGGGCAAACATCTTCGCGACGAATTTGTAACCTTAACAGTTGAGATGAGGTTGTTAACAAAGCCACTGCGATGTAATGTAATAATTAAGACTATGAGGGCAATATAATTCATTGAACATAAGTAATCAGATAATGTGATGACATTGGAGCTGTAGTTATTCAGGTGTAAAGTAACAAAAGTTGTCTTCGATTATTTCAAAAAACAAAAAAATAAACTGAGAATACTTTTTAATCAAACATATATATATTATATTACATTACCAACTGTTAGGCTTTTTTTTATTGATTCTACACTATGGCATTATCACAAGGTAAATGGATTTTCATACCTGGCACATAATAAAATACCAGAGCAACAGAACAATATAATATCAGAGCATATAGAAGTCGACTCAGATACTTGATGCATATACAAAGTGCATTTGTGCAGAATTGCATGGGAAGTCTATAGTCATTTTGAGGTTTATGAGAATCTAGAATTGGTTCAGTGATGGCAGAGTATTATCAAAAATTAATAAATTTTCGGTCTTTATACACATAAATACATGTTCCTCTTATACCTATAGAAGCTATCAAAATCAAAATATTGTCTGACCCTGCCAAATATGTACCACATATCATATAATCTTGTGATTATTGTCAATTTGAAAACAAAATCATGTATTTTTCTTATGTTACCAGTGAAAACCCAAATACCCTATATTCTTCCTAATACAAAATGTTTGAGGTGGTGAAGTAAAACTAAACGCCATATGTCTCACAACACAAACAAATGTTGAAACTTAAGAGTTGATGATTTGTGTATGTATGAGGGTGATGGAGATATGAAAGTCATACTGGCAGTTTTACTGTGACCAGCCAAAAAATGTGAAAAAAACTATATGTATGTTTAAACAACAAATAAAATACTGTCATTTTCTTTTTAACAATCCAGCCCCCCTTTGGTACCCCTCACTTAGGGACATCTCCCCTTTCCTTTCCATTGAACTAAGCAGAATATTTTTGGAGTCAACCCTGTGTGATTTGTACATTTTGTATCCATCTTCCAATTTATTTAATTTCAATAAGTAACCTTTGGATATATTAAATCCTGAATGTATTGCTCGTAGAATCAGTCATTTCAAAAACCAGCTAAGTCCATTTTTTACTAACATGCTTTTTGTGCTATATGCATTAGATACATATTTTGGCATGCAATAAACATTGAGTGTAAAAACATTATGAGCCTGGACTTACATGGTTTTTGCATATACAATGGCCGGTACTTGAATGGGTCATTTATAAAACAGTATCAGTATTGCTGTATTTTTTTTCATATTTCTTCTTCAAAATAAGGTTACAAGCCTTATTTATCTACTTTGCCGAAAATCACCTGTTTAAGAGTTTTCCTGTTTCCTACCAAAACCACTGATTCAATCCTCCTCAGTTGTATGACTGAGACAGTCATTTAAATATAAGCTAAATATTTTAAATAGCTGTTCATTTAGATAGTATAAGATGGAATTACACACACATCTGTCTTGCAATTTAAATTTATTTGTTGAAGTGATACATTTTGATGATGGTAGTCAAATAAGTACATAGGTTCTCCTACAACCAATTGCATATTATTGAAGAAAGTTGACAGAATAAGAATATGCATTTCTTAATGATGGTCATTTCATGATTTGGATGTGAAATTGGAAATTTGCTCAGACTAAAAATATAAATTATAAATATTTTTAGTAGAAATTTGCCTTTCCCAAGTATTTGCTTTGTGAAGGTTATTTAAAACTGGTTTATTTGTCAGTCACACAATACATATTGTCTCCTGAAGCCTTCAAATCATGGTATTTACAAGGTTTTTGTACTTGCCAAATTGCATGTGCTAGTTTCTCAAAATTTGACATGTGTAAACAACTTCCATAAAATGCCAATAAAGCATTACTTCTACTATTACTATTATCGTTTGTATAATTACCTTCAAGACCAAGCTGTTGAACGACATTATCAATACATTTCCTCACTGCTGACAATATTTCCTTTGGATCTTGCTCTGACCAACCTTCCTGAGGTGTGTGAGTAACTATATCCACAGTATGCTCTGCTATTTCTTTAGTGTGTCCCGGTCGAAAAACACAAAACTTCACAGTTCTTGTACCGGCATCTATCACACCGATAAGCGTATCTTTATGGACCTTTTCCATAATTATAGTAACTGTAAATGAGTGTGAAATGCGCTCAAAATAGATAAATATTTCATTCAAAAATAAGATAGTGTACTCACAAACTTCAAATTTGGTTTATAAGACAGAGGGGGGAAAAGGTGTGAGCAATCCACACCTCTGTATGTCACACAGTGACTGTAATAACTAATATCGCAAACGTTTTTCGTGTGATGCGCGATTGCATTCCGATGTTCTTATCTCTATAATTTCGTCATCCACAATTACATCAAAAAACCCCCCTTCTTTCTGATTTCTGACCTTATGGCTTTTTATGCAATATCCCGACCCATGGCGGAGCGCGGCCAAGCAGTGTTCTGTCAACGTGTCAACACACAAAACATAACACTGTCGACATGTCATTTGTCATAAGTGTTGCCAGACGATTATTTTTTTTCTCCCTAGATATTTTGCCAAAATTTCCCTAATAACTTAAAAAACCATGTTTATTTTAGAATTCCTTTTATATATTTAATATACATCTTGAAATTGTTTGTAATTTGGGGTAGGAGTATTGAAAAACAATTTTTTTACGAATAATTAGTTTAATTAACGTAACAGGTATTTCTTAAAATATATAATACACACAATACATGATAAATTAAGTATGAATATTATGGAAAATATAAAAAAAAATATTCTGTATAAATAGCGAACGAACGAACATAGCATAACATAAAATATTTTGTTTTTCAGGAAACAATAAAGCAAAATAATCAAAAGTAGGTATTATAATTTAATTTTGAGTTTTATTATACATTGACGAATCCGTTCTTCTAAACAAATCATTAGGGATGCTAAAATTGTAGCAACTGTCACTTTTCAATAAAACTTTGGTATGTAAAATTCCACTTAAACTTTCAGTCGATAATTTATTTATTATTTTAGGTTTGTTTAGATTTATTTGGGAAAATATCCTTTCAACATTTGCACTTGAATGTGGCAAACTAAACCGATTAAACACAAAACTAGTTAAGGTTGGAAACATAAGAGAATCATCACCATATTTTAATGTTGAAATTTTTTCACAAAATTCTTGAACGCTTAAATTTGTATATTCACTTAAATCAAGATTTCTTATTCAACGCCATTTTTTGTCTATTTCATTTACGTTATCAGTTGTCAAGTTGGGAAAATGGAAAAGGCCCTAATGATGCTTGTTTTTTTGCAATTAATTCATCTGGTGATATAAGTGACATATGTTTTACGGTAGCGACGGTTTTGCTTTTTCATCCTGATGACATTCGTAGGGCGACATATGTTTTAAGGTAGCGACGGTTTTGCTTTTTCGTCCTGATGACATTCGTAGGGCTACAAATCTTGCCAATGAAGTGAGAAACGCACTGCACGAACTCCGCAACGAGCAATGAAGCGACTTTCTGGCGGGAATGCTTGATTCAAGTATTCCTCTCTGGAGGATCGCAGTCACTAAGAAACGGAAAGCGAGATCCACTCCCGCATATCCACGGTTCTGAAGGCATTGTCTTCATAACGGAGGATAAGGTCGAGGTTTTCGCTAATGCCACGAAAAAACAGTTCTCTCCCAACCTTGATCTTGATAATGACCTCGACGAGGAACAGCACATCCGTCAGGAGATATTTTAGGGCCAACGGCGTTAGCGGAGGCACTGAATCCTCTTCAGATGACTCTTCTTCAGAAGATTCGTCTGAGGCTCCACATAGCACATTAGCGGAACCCTCCGAGTTTCCACATTGCATACCAGCGGAACTCCTAAGTCAAATTAAAGACCTCAAGGTGCGTAAAGTACCTAGGGAGTATCAAGTCACCAATAAGGCGTTGAAGCTGCTCTCGCCGAAAGCCCTGACATATTTGGTGACAATAAACAATGCGACGCTCAGAATCCAGTACTTCCCTGCTGGGTGAAAAACTGCTGAGGTCATCATGATTCCAAAGAAGGTGGGTTCGATATTTCCTCAGGATTACCGTCGCATAAGTTTGCTGTCAGCTCCTTCTAAGCTCGCCAAAAAGGTAATTTATCGTCACCTTGAGATTTTTTCGTCAAATCACCATGTGATTCCTTACGTTAAATTCGGTTTTCGGTCCGAGTATAGCACCGAGCTACAGGCAGTCAGGCTGGTGGAACATGTAACCAGAGAATTCACCCTCAGCATGAGTACTGGCATCTTGCTTTTGGATGTCCCAAAAGGCTTTAACAAGGTGTGGCATGCAGGCCTCCTTTATAAACTAATCCAAAAGGGTTTTCCTTTTTGGCTTCTAAAATTACTGGAATCCTTTCTTGAAGGACGGAAGTTGCAGATCAAAATTAACAATTTTTTGTCAATAACACGGCCAGTTCGGGCCGGTGTTCCTCAGGGTTCGGTCGTAGGACCAATCCTTTATCCTCTTTTTATCCATGATGTCCTGTGCCCCAGCAACTGTGAAGTCTACCTCTATGCTGACAACACTGCACTTGTCGCCCGCCCAGTCATGTACATAGCACCTATTACGTAGACACCTAAATAAATGTTTTCTATTTCCACAAAATTATGAGGATTTTTATATTCTACATTTTCAATCAAAGTTTTATCTAAATAATCCTTTTTCATGTAACTATCCAAAATTGTTCTTAAGACATGTTCAACTCGTTTATATAAAATGTGTATTTTAATATTTTCTGATTGTATTTCTAAATTTGATTCCATAAAAAACGGCAGCACAAAGTTTAAAAAATGTAAATACAATATGGTAGATGGATTTTGAAGAAAATTTAAGGTATTTTGTGCTTGAATGCCATTTTTGTTGTAGCACTGATCTGTAAAATATAATTTTAAAGCATCATATTGCTCAAGTATTCTTTTTACAACTGGCAATACAGACAACTACCTTGTTTGAGAGGGTTGTAAAATAAGGTTTTACTGCTACAAACTCCTGAAATTCTGCAAATTCAGTTTGTCTTTTAAAACTGTATTGTAGATACTTATGAACATCTCTAGCCATTTGTTCAATTTCATCTGGTAATTTAGCACAAGCATAATTAACACATAAACTAAATGCATGACAGACATATTTCATAATGAATAAATTAGGAATATCGGCTTGTAGTTTGGTGGATAATGAATTATGAATTCCCATCATAGCTCTTGCACCAGCCTGTTAGATTTTCTTTATAAGTAATATTACATTTTAAAAAATAATGTACTATAGTGTTGTAAAGTCCTTCTGCCATTGCATCTGCTACAGGCAATAGACCAAAGAACAAGTCAGTAATTTTATGTTCATAAAAAATACGTGACACTAAAGCTAAATTTATAATTGCGCCTTTATCGGTAGATTCATCAGCAATTAATGAAAATGTATTTGTTTGTAATGTAATAAATTAATAGAATTTTCAAAACTGTACTGCCCTAAAACATTATTGACAATAGCTGTAGCTTTGGTTGTGATAACATGTGAAATTTTTAGCAATCTCTGAATCGTCAAATGATATTCTAATAATTTCTCATAAATGGTCTAAAGTATTAAGTGAAATGTTATGTTCAGCTGCATATGCTGCAATTCGAATTTCATCAGTTTTGATTTTTTCATTTAAAGATATTTTTTCCATATAAGATGTCATATCAGTCAAAGTTTTTTGTGTGTGTAATGATTTTACCAATTTGGTGTGTTGTTTGCTTCTGGATTTCGGATTTGCCACATATAACATCTTTATTGCATGCCTTGCAGAATGCATAATTGGACCCTTTCTTGCTGTTCCTCAGCGAACCTTTAAATTCAGGTTCTTGTTCCCATGCAGCGGTATATTTCTGAGTATACGACATTATGACGTTTTTCTTATGCGTCAATCTTCTTCAGAATACGACGGTGATGATTAGAGTTCTTCAGCAGGTTTAGAAGTTGATGGTTGAGGTGTAATTGAGGACATGATGTTACATCTGTAATTATAAAGAAACAATAGCAAACAAATTTAGATGTTTGGTTTAAAATACATAGATCATAGATATACATATTATAATATGTATGCCGATATCAATATGTCATTGATTTATAGAAATATTATTTCATTAACTTTAATACTAGATAATTAATTTCTGAGTAAACTCTGAAGAACCTCCCCAATCAAGTATAATAATTAGAAAAGTAAATATTTTATAATAAATAAATACCTATGGCAAATAAGTTCAATGTCGAAAAACTTTAATGATTATACGTTAATAATTTTAGAGCACAAACTAAAAAACATAAACATAAGGTAGGTGTATACAATATCGCCATGTGTACCTTATGCCCTTAGTTGTTAGATAGCGTTACTGATTCTATATAAGATAATAAATTACGACTTACGACAAATGACGAGTAATAGTTGTTAGAAATATTGAGATCCTTGAATTTTAACACACATTTATTTTTTATTTCCAGATTAACTATACCTAGAGAACGTAATTGAGGTATACGGGGAAAGTGGAGTGAGGAAAACTTGCAAAAAGCTATTGCTGCAGTTCGAAATGGTATGTCCAAGAATTTTGCAACGTGGAAACGCTGAGGGACTACTTAGGAAAAAATCTTACATCGAAATGTAGCATGGGTCGAAAATCTATTCTCACCAAGGAACAAGAACAAGAGTTATGTTCAAGGATTATTCGCTTGGCAGAAATAGGATATCCGCTAACTTCTAAAGTATTGCGAAGGAGTGTTTTTAATTTTTGCGATGCTAACTCCATATGCCATCCATTTAATAAGGAAAAAAAATAGCTGGACGTTTCTGGCTCGAAGGATTCGTTAACCGGAATCCACAAATTAGAAAGCGGAAGGCTCAGTGTATGAATCCTGCCAGCGCCCAAAAACTAAACTGGTTTATAGTGAATGACCACTTTTCAAAACTGCGTGAAATTCTGATTAACCTTGACATCATGGATAGACCTCAGTGCATATACAATATAGATGAGAAATGCTGTCGTCTGGCCCTCCATCACCAACAAGTAGTCCTTGCAAAGAAGGGGGCCAAACGAGTTCATCTTGGAACGAGTTCATGGAAAAGAAATATTGCAAAAGGGATTTTATACACAGCATCACGGAAAAAATCTAAAATAAAGTACTACTAAACAAAATTGCCAAAGCACGGTTAACTTTTTTTTTGCCTACCAGTCAAGGAAAGATATAAGTTTGTAAAGTGATGTTTATAAGTACACTGGGAATACGAAAAGGAGTGTTGGATGTTGCAATGCAGATCCGAAAGGAAGAAAATATCAGTTCACAGGATAACAGGAGCCAATGACCAAAAAAAGCCACAACTCCCGAGGTTTTACAAGGTGTAAGGGGTCATATCGAAAGGTTTCCATTCATGGCCTCACACTATTGTCGTGCAAAAACCCAGATGAAGTATTTAGCGAACTTAATATTACCATAATGTATAGATTGTGTAGACAAAAATGTTGATTTTGTAAGTTCGTCAATGTATAGAAAGATATTTTGTGAAGAATATAACCTGGGCTTTTTTCGTCCACGAAAAGATCAGTGCCGCACATGTATGAATTACAATACCCCTGGTAGTATTAGAACAGAGTTTATAGAGGCTAATTATCAAGCTCGCATAGTTGCCAAGGATAAAGCCCGTGAGGAAAAAAGGTCTGACAAGGTATTAGCTGAAACTTCCAACAAACAAGTTTTATGCTGCAATTTTGACCTCCAACAAGTGCTTATGGTACTATGGTATTACCAGCTGATGTTGAGCACATTATTTGCTATAGCGACAGGTGTGGAGGACAAAATCTCAACAAATATGTATGACAAGTTGAAGAAGTAAGTACATTTTCTTGTATTATCTACATATGCGTATTTAATTTAGTGCGTAGATACATTCCATAAGAGCAAGTTGTTTTGTTACGTTCCATAAGAACAAGTTGTTTTGTTACGTTCAATAAGAGCAAGTTGTTTTTTAATGTAATAAATTATTTATCACATGATGACCAATAAAAGAAAGAAAGTGGTCGTGACAATTGAGCAGAAAATTGAAGCGATAAAACGATTGGACTCTGGAGAATCGGCTAAAAAAATAGCGTCCGATTTAGGAGTTGGTAAAAGTAGGGTGGGCGATTGGAAGAAGAATCGCTCCGAAATTGAAAAATGGTGTTGTTACCAAGCTAGTGGTAGTGGAGTTAAAGTGAGAAAAACAATGCAGAAGGGTAAACATTTAGAAGTTGAAGAGGCACTTTTTTTGTGGTATGAACATTTGCGAGGTAAAGGATTGCCAGTCACTGGTCCATTACTACAAGAAAAAGTACTGCATTTTAGCAAAGCAATCGAAGGAGAAGACACGGTCTTTACGGCGAGCGATGGCTGGCTGAGTCGATGGAAAAATCGTTTTGGCATACGTCAGTTGACAATCAGTGGTGAATTATTGTCCGCAGACACGGATGCCGTTTCCGATTTTAAGACGCACTTATTCAGCATTCTTGAAAAAGAAGACATTTCTCGTGAGCAATTGTATAACTGCGATGAAACAGGGTTAAATTATAAAATATTGCCAACTAAAACTCTGGCATCGAAAAACGAAGCTGCAGCTCCAGTCTACAAGAAAAGCAAAGAGCCTGTTACTGTTTTAGCTTGCAGTAATGCAACTGGCCATCACAAGCTTAGATTAACCTTAATAGGAAAATCCAAGAAGCCCAGAGCGTTTAAAAAACTGAAAAATCAAGATTCTCTACCTCTCTGGTATACACATCAAACAAAAGCTTGGATGAACTCGACAATTTTTAAAGCTTGGTTTCAGAACGAATTTGTACCAGCAGTAGAAAAGCATCTTGCCATTAACAAATTGCCCAGAAAAGCCATTCTTATCCTCGATAATGCTCCTTCGCATCCACCGAACGATGAACTAGGAGATGGAGATATCAGAGTTTTGTTTTTACCACCTAATGTGACGTCTATTTGTCAACCTATGGACCAGGGTGTCCTTGAAGCTTTGAAGAGAAGATATCGGCGCCGACTTGTTAGCTTTTTAATATCGTCCATTGACAACGACGGCGATTGCATAACTTCCCTAAAAAAAAAAATCGACATACTGGATGTTATAAGATGGCTATCCGAAGGATGGGAAGAGATACCCTCAAAGACACTGGAACGGTCATGGAAAAAATTGCTTGAAAGTGAAATGCCCAAGGAGGATGAGAATGCGAGCGAAAATCAAGAACATCTGTCCTTAATAGTAAAAGTACCCGGCTGTGAGAGTGTGAATTTGGAGGACGTTACAGACTGGATAGAAAGTAATGGAGCCGACGACATAACCGATGATGATATTGTGACAATGGTGGTTAGTAACGAAACCGTTACCGAAGATATTGAAGACGAACAAATCAATCACTCTGAAGGTCTTAAAATGATTGAAGGAGCTCTCGAGTATATTATTCAACAGGAGGAAGCAACGCCAGCAGATATAATTTGTTTAAGAAAGTGGAGGGACTTGTCAGCGAAAAAAAGAACACAGAGCGCAAAACAGGCAAAAATAGAAGATTTTTTTAAAAAGAAATAGTATGTAGATAATTAAAATATATTTAATATAACATACATATAATTATGTATGTATTATGTACTAAACTGTATGTATGTATGCATTTTCTCATACCTTAATAAGTACCAATATAAGTTTTGAGTTAAAATAAATTTGTTTAATAAAATTGCGTATGTTTGGACATTAATTCGGCTTATCCGGCTTTTTCGTTATCCGGTCTAGCTGCCCGCCACCTTAGGCCGGATAGTTGAGAGTTTACTGTACATAGTAAGAATTCTGAATAAACGTCTCCAGTGATTATGCATGAGAAATGTGCACAGTATTGTGAATGACTTTTAATAAAACTTGGATAGTTGGATTTTTGTTCCCTGTTCCCTTGTCGCCCAGCCTCAAAGTTTATGCACAAACAGTATTTATATATTCTAGCTGTGTAAAAGAAAACGGGACACTGTTAATGTGCAATTTATCTTTTAATCCAAATATAAATGAAGTCAGGAAAAAATCAGAACAATTTTGGGAAAATTCAGTTTTTCCGTTACTCTACGGAAGTACTTTGAATTTCGAAACCTTCTAAGTGTCACTTTGTTGACTACCCCATTTAAGCGACTTCGTATCCCTTACAGTTTCCAAGATCCCAGTGGTGAGTGCCAAACTAGAAACACCTTGTATATGCACACTCTTACTAGAAGAAAGAAGTGAAAATACTACAAGGATTTAATAACGTCTTTGAATAATAAAAGGTGTTATACACTAAAAAGCTAAAACGGCTGAACATAACTACAATTATCAAGATCTGCTGACATAGCTATAAGTTTCACAGAGTTCTCAACATGGACCAAAAGAACTGATACTACGAAAATACATAGAAGTAATACTTAAATCGCGTAATTACGCATTTTGCAAGTGTAACAATAATTTTCAAAAGATTAGTGATCACAAAAAACGTATTAATTAAATGGTTCTTGAAAGTTATGTCTTCTATTGTTCGGATTTTTCATACTGTATCCATAACTTCATTTTTCCATTACCGGGTCAATAAACAAAATATTGAGCACAAAGCACTTTGGCGCTGGCTGATATTTAAAATGGAATTTCATTAAAATTGCTTCTGCCACTTGCTCACCTGAAAAAGTTACAAAAACTTGTTTCTGCTTTTAGGAGCTTGAAGAAACTTTTTTATTCGCATTTTTGAACTGCCTAAATTTAATAGAACTGGGAAAATCTCCTCATGTAGATTGTTACATGAGCTCGGGACCAAGGAGCGGTCTAATCGGCCAGTTCTGGATGTACGAAATTCTTCACGCTTACGATGGGAGGTCGAAGTCAGGTAGACACATCGCGGGACGACACCATGGAAGAGAGCTCTGAGGAGCAAAGCCCGATCGCCAACGGCCCGTTGGTACGAAGGTGTCCTCAGACCATCCATTAGAGAAACGTTCATTAAATGCCTCTTGCGAAGCAATTTTAGCCCTCAAGATAGTTTCGACACACTCTGATACCTGTCACTGTCACTGTGACTGGTGCCATCTGATCTGTCAGAAAGTTCTGTACGAACAGCGGATTAGTTGTCGGCAAACAGTCACAAACTATACGAACAGGCAACATCTCTCTGATTTTGACAGTTACCGACTACTGTACGCTGTACGAACAAACCAATTGATGGGGAGTTTAGACAGCTAAATTAAATTGTAATCGTAGAACTCGTATATCCTTAACAAACAATAATTTACGGCCTTTGTACAAAAGGCAATTACCTATCAAGAAAGCAAAGTACGACGCTTTAATGTTATTATTTGCAATGAATCCTCCAGCCCTCCTTAGCGAGTATAAACCCTTTTATGAAAATCTTCCTTTCCATGGTAAAGAGGTTTCTTACAGAGATATCAGTGACGTTGAGTGATGTCATTGACATTGACGTTTAAGTTGTAAAATGTTATTTGGGTAACATTGGCTTTTGAGTTGTGAATTATATATATATATATATATACAGGGTGACTTTGAAGTTGAGTCATTAATTTTCAGATAATGATTGTAGAAGGAAGATAAACCAAAATATGTGTGTAAAAATAAAAAAAAAATAAAAAAAAAATTTTACCTTGTTTTATAAAGTATCCTCCCGACAAGTATTTCAGTGCGGACCTGTATTTGATCGTGAGGTCCCCTCTGAGGTCTTAAGTCACCTGATTCACGAGCCCGTTGTACTACATTAACAAAGGCACGAGGGGTTGGTTGCACTCGATTGGGAAACCGATCCGCATAAACATGTGCCATTTTTTATTTCGTTTGAGCCACGCAACAGATACCACCATTCACTGTCACAGACTGTATACAAATGAATGAGAAAACATCGTTCCAAATTCTTTCGCTTTTTTGTTTCCGATGCGATGAACCGATACGGCGGATTATATCCGTTGTCGCCAAACACGACCACATAATATTGTTATTGAGACAGGGCGGTACTCAAACTTCCAAAGGGCTATAACTTTGTTACTTTAATTTTACCAGGAAAATGGTAAAGGAAAAAAACATTTCTTTTGATCAGATCTACTCACTGTTAAAATAAATGACTCAACTTCGAAGTCACCCTGTATATCTATGGTGCGTGGGTAAACAAATATAAGTCAAAAAAGCACAGGCTGAGAAAATCGCTATTTTTGTTTTACAGTCAGTAATTTTCACCTTGTTTCGCTTATTGCTTTGATAATGTAAACAAAATATTTTGTCTGCGTCTTTATTTAATAACAATATCTCTGACTGTTACAAGTTCTGCTTCAAAAAATGCAATATACCTAAAAATATAAACGGCTTGGCGGTTCATATAAACTGTGATTTAGGAAAGATTAATGGGATTAATGTAAATCTTCATCAAATTCAACAACGTCAGGACAAGCGTCCTCTTGAGTTGCTGATGTTCGCAAGTCAAGCTAAAACTGTCTAAAGGGCTCAGATATTAAGGACAATAAATCGATTAAATTTGATTTTTTCTCTTCTGATATTGGAGGTTTGCGTATGTAACACTTTCCTGGATCAAGAGTTCCACAGCTCCCCCTTCTTGTTAATGACAGCTCTTTAAACTGTTCTGTTTCATCCAGAGAGTTTTTGAAAAAAAAAATTCCAGGCTCTCTCGTATATCTGAACCAGCGAGCATCATGCCACTTAAACGGATTGCCCATTGAATCCTTTTTTCTGAGGACAAGAGAATTTCTATAAAGGTCAGAGAAGCTTAAAAACATGTCATGAGTTAATTCTTTAACCAGAAATTTACGTCGTTTCCCGACAGTCCTTACAAGCTGGTACCAGTCATGAGGATGATTAATTTTAAGCTCCAATTTTTTTTTCTGTTTCTCTATGAGGGCATGGTCAACATCACATTCCATATGACTGTGACCGCTAATCATAAATTTGTGATCAATGGTTTCTAAGCATGCATTTCGTTGCATGACAGTTAAAAACATTGCAGCTACATGTGAGTTCTTGTTTTGCCCACCACATGTGTCTGAATACAGAATAACCCTGTTTATATTGGGAGGTAGGTTTATCAATTCTACAAACAAACAAGTTCCGATTTGATTACCACCGCGGCCACCTTCCGCTTCATGCCACATGAAGCAAGTTACCTCACCATTCCCGAGATCATGCATGGTTAAGTTGTAAGTTCACAATTGCCCTTTGTAGAATGATACAGATGATGTCAAAAAAGGAGTTGGAATGCACTGCTGGAGATCAAACCTGTAGCATTTTGTACTTGTGTTTTGCTTAGCGAATTTTTTATCGTCATCCTTTTTTAAATATGCATCATCTGCTTCTGCGTGGTGGAGGTCAATTTCTTTTTTTATGCTTTCTTTTTTTGACTCCTGAGCAATATCAAGCTTCATTTGCAGCACGTCACATTTATGGCACGTATCAACTTTAGACTTCTTAAATGATAACTTCAGCTTATGGAACTGAGCCTCATAAATACGTCGAGAAACTACTTTGCGATTTTCCAAGTACAACTCGTACATCTTTTTCAGTGTCAAATAAGGAGCCAGATATCTTTTGTCATTTACCCTCCGAGTGTAGTGGCATTCATATGAAAGAAAGGAATTTATGTGCTGAATCACTTGGTCTAATACCTCTGCATCAAATTTGTTGGCAGGTTCATGGCAACCGCGTTTATCGTTACGAACTATCCCAGAAACTGACTTACTAGAATTTCATAACGCCAGTGTAACAAACATTTGTGTCTCACCTAAGGTTTTCATGAAACATCCCCGACAGACTTTAGTCTTCTGACCATTAATTTCAAAGTAAAAGGTGTGGCTTATTTCCCTGTTTCTGGATTTTTCTGGATTATCTGTCCTCTGTCTTTTTACTGCAGTTTTCGTGGTCTCCGAGTGGTTTGCAGTATAACTCGTTTGTCTCTGTTTCCAAGAGCCCAGTACTCTTGAAATATAATTGATCTTGTAGTTTCTGTTATTTTATCTCGACATTTTAATCGACACATTGGTAAAGGTATCATCTTACGTTGTTTTACTTCTTTACCTTTTGCTGCAACATATTTTCTCCCTGTATTTCGGCATTCTTTCCGCTCATTCCGTTTTTTTCCGGGAATTAGGTCCGTCTTTCAACCTCATTTTTGTATTTACTGCAGCAGCATCTGTGTTTTCAAGGATATCTGATTTATTTGCCCAAACCCTTTTTTTGACCAAAGCTAGTGAAACTTCATCATCGCTACTACAAACATTTGATGACAACTCATCTTCCGGATCATAGTTTTTGTCCTTCACACTGTCATCATCGTCTAAATCCTGCTCATGTAGAACTGCGTCCTCCAGTTGCGTTTTTCCAACTCCGGTCTCATTTGATGAAACTGTCTGATTCACAGTCTCCACGAGCATTTCATCTGGAAATACATAGTGAAAAAACAGATGAAGTAATCTAAAGAATTCTAAATATCGAAAACATTCAAAAATGAGATTTGGGTCGTTAAAACAAACTTAAGTCATCTAAGAAATGTTTCGAATACATTCTTAAATTTTCTGGAACCTGAAAAACAAACAAAAACCATTTTGGGAATGATCTAGTATTTTTGTATTGTTTTTAAAAAACTACCGACTACGACTCCATAGCACATAGTTACCAAGATCGAACGCAAAGAAAAATGCCAACAGACAAATTGACTGACAGACAAACAGGCCGGCAAACAACCCATCCGAAAGATATGGTTTCACATGATATACAGGTCATACAACTTCGCCTACGCGTGCGAAGTACAAATTAACGTATTATCAAAAAACGTACCTCTATTGTCTATTCTGACATCCTCTAAATCGTCTGCAGCAAACACAGCATCAGCAAATATGTCATTTATGGAAGCTGTTCTTTCCACGGGTTCGAAGACTTCAAGTGGCGACAGCCCTACCAATGTTTAACGTTTAACAACTTTATTGCCAATTTATAAAATAATAACTTACCTAGATCTGCTCGAGCCACATTGAGTATTCTTTTGGTTCTTTCTGATGCCATGGTATTGGTTATCACAAAGACTTGAATAAAATGCAACACGTTGGTGACATAACCTCAAAATACAACACGTGGTGAACGACGCGGAACAATATTATCGATGTAAGCGTGTAAAACAGTATAAGTCTACTTGTACTGTTTCGCTCACGATATTTCAAGCCTTCTTTGGTGGTGCCACCTATTACAAGTACACTTATGCTGATGTTCCCACCAGAAATAGAAGTTTTTGAGAATTATACTATATAGTGCATGTTTAATAACAGCATTAATATGAAGTATTTACTTATACCATTTAGACCAGCCTATAGACACCGTTTTATTACGTATACTGACGACTTGAACTCATTTTCCCAAAATCTTGACTTATACTCTTTTACCCTCGCACCATAGATATATATATATATATATATTTTTGCCTTTTGTTGGGTACTTCGACAAAAATTTAAGCAAAGAGGACTCTTTATACTTTTTTTATCTCTCTAGCTTTCAATGGACTTTGCCATCATCATCAGGAGCTGCAATTACATTGATAACAGTAGCAACAATAGTGTAAAATGAATTTAAATTGACTTAACTTACAGTAGTATGTGAGGATGTTGCTAATTGTTCTTTACGTTCAGGATGAGGGAAACACCCAGTAACATGGTGAAAGCTGGGTAGATGGTACAATGGTCAAAATTATATAAAATACACTCAACTGTGTGACAAGAACAAGTTAAAAACAGATAAAAAATTTTTAGAACATGAAAGCATTACATCGTGAAGCCACTTGATGATTGCACAAAATGGTGGACATGGAATAATGAATGAGATAAACTCTTTGACAGAAGACCGAAGGTTGTCAGTGTCTGTGTAGAAAGATGGAACGAATTATTTTGTGGGCGTGTGCTACGTTGCCAAATCACTTCAGATGATGTGATTTTCAGAATGTGTTATGTAAGAAATTGTTATACCGACCAGAGGCAGTTGAATTAACTATATTTTATTAATGGGCAATTAAATTAACAATTATTATTAAATCGTGATGAGAAAATTATTAAAATTTGAATGGAATGAAGTTTATTGGTGGAATAGACCAAGAAACAGATTCCATTTATGGTTGTGAAGAGTCAAAATTTGGGGAGATGTGTAAGTGCTCCAGTTTTTCGCAGTTTAGCAAATATGAGTAAATGACACTCAGTTGCTGAACATCTGTCTTTTTGTTGATTTCATAGAGTGCCCTGTTGTGTTAACATGAGATGCTAGAGCGCATCTTTCAGGATGAAGCCTAGAATCACTTTTGTGTGATGTAATCCTTCCTTTAAGAGATCTGGAGGTCTGACCTATGTATATTTGGTTGCAATTGTTGCAATTGATAGAGTAGACTGTGTTGGTTAAGCCAAGCAGCGGGACTCTGTCTTTCATTTTTGAAAAAATGCAGTTTATAGTGAGGACGGATTTGCAAGCAATTCGAAAGTTCCAAGGACTGCACAATCTGATCAGCTTAGGGGTCAGTTCCTTGATATAGGGTAGGACAGCAAAACCAGGTCTGGAATTTGGGTTGGTGTTTGTACTGTTTGAATTGATGTTGTTGTTGGGAATTCTATCAGTTCTGTTATTAGGGGTTGTGAGACTATTACTTGTATCATTAGAGTTTGGCAAAATATTGCTGAGAAGTTCCTTCTCTTTCAACAACAAAATATAAGACCTTATTTAGTTCACCTCCCAATATTTTGCCAAACTCTAATGATACAAGTAATAGTCTCACAACCCCTAATAACAGAACTGATAGAATTCCCAACAACAACATCAATTCAAACAGTACAAACACCAACCCAAATTCCAGACCTGGTTTTGCTGTCCTACCCTATATTAAGGAACTGACCCCTAAGCTGATCAGATTGTGCAGTCCTTGGAACTTTCGAATTGCTTGCAAATCCGTCCTCACTATAAACTGCATTTTTTCAAAAATGAAAGACAGAGTCCCGCTGCTTGGCTTAACCAACACAGTCTACTCTATCAATTGCAACAATTGCAACAAATATACATAGGTCAGACCTCCAGATCTCTTAAAGGAAGGATTACATCACACAAAAGTGATTCTAGGCTTTATCCTGAAAGATGCGCTCTACAGTATATTCAGATAAGAGATAGACCGGACATAAACAAGACCACGTGATCATCGAACGCTGTAACATTCGGCAGGGATGTATTAAGAGTCACGCAGTACATATTTTAGATACTAGATGCTGCTTTGCGTAACTTGTAGTAAATTAGCACAATTCGATGTGTATACGATTGGTGATGGATATAGGATCATGTGGGGGTGGGGTAAGAAATATATAATGATGTAAATATACATAAGGGTTTCAAAATTTTCGCTTCGATTTCCAGCTTCGGATGCCGCCTGATGTTTGGTGAAATACAGTCGAATATAATCTCAAAATGGCGTTTAAATTAGCCTAAATTAAAAATAATCGTATATCTCTTAAAATTGCTTTTAGAATATTGATTAGTATATTTTTTGATTTCTAGGTAAATATGTAACCAAATTAAAACGTAAAAAAATGTGCATGGTTGAACATTGTCAGAAAGTAGATTCTTGAATAGGTTTTGCCAAAATGGGTTCAAAAATGTCAATAATTAATTAAAAAATACAGTAGCTTTATAATTACTTATAACTTACCGAATTTGATGAACGACATCTTTTATTGGAAAGATGAGCTTGATGAGCTTTCATCATCGCTACTGCCTGAAGCACCAACGTCAATAATGAATGGCTCGACTTGTTCCTCTAAAATATTGTCCAGTTCCCACATTCTCTTTTCAACTTTGTCTTTCACGTGCTTAATACAGTTTTCCCATTTTTGCGCTGTTATTAATTCTAGTGCTTCTTTGAAAAGTCCTTTGAGGTCACAAAATTTAAAAGTTGTATTGTGCTTAGCTATATAATTTTTAACCTCTGCCCATATGAGCTCAATGGGATTGAGCTCGCAATGGTATGGAGGTAAACGGAGCACAGTTTTATTTTGACTTGCTGCCATTTCGTCAATGGCGTATTTTTGATATTCCGCCTTGTGATCCTTGACAATTCTTAATAATTGTACTTTCAGCATTGCTTCTTCAAAGTTGATATTTTTCGAGCGGAGCCAATTTT